ATAGACTCAAGTTTAACAACATCCAATATAGACTCAAGTATAAACAAGATCAATAACTACAAATTAAAATGTGAACAAAATCTCTACTTACGTATAGAATAATGCATAATGCGAATAGTTTTACTACAGACTCATATGTAAGCATTCCTCATAGTTATATATAGACTCAAGTATAGTATGGTCAACGTTCACTTATTGACTCAAGTATAATCATGATCAATGTTTGCTTATATACTCAAGAATAATCACCAGTATTTTGTACTTGTTGGCACACATATTACGAAAGCAAATTTCTGCATTAAATAATCCGAAAAGCGTTGACGTGTCGTAAAATTAACCAACCCTGTACTTGCTCATTATCGTTATATCGATTTATTTATTATTTTTTCTTATTTATTCTGCCCGTGTTTTTATGTCTGTTACTTTTTTACTTAGTAATTTTTATTGCAATTCTGAATCTCTTCATATCTATCAATAATCTCAATTTAGTCAATCAACCCAGCTTTACTTTTGTATGGCCTTTCGCATTCTTTCTCATCTTTTAGGAAAGCCGCTTCACACACAGACATCAGCTCTTTACACTCTTGTCTATTTGTTGAATGCAATTTTTACCTATTTTCGCAGACAATGTTTCATATCTACATTTTGTTTATTTTTTTGCCTAATTTTAATATCATTAATTTTATTCTCTGTCATTGTTTTTTATACCAATATGTTTTCATTCTTTTTCATTTTATAAAAATATCCATGACCACTGAGCGTTAAATTATTTTTTGAATTTGAATTATGTTGAACGTTAATTTTTTTACGAATCAAAAATAAATTAAAAAATCATGCCCATTGGCTTTTTTTAGGAAATAACAAACTAATAAAGACAAGTCTGAACATTGTAAAACTGGTAATAACTGTCAATCGAAATAACAGTATTAGAAAATATCAATGGTTTCGAGATCAATGGTGTGTTCGATTAGTACATAAAGTAATATAAAGTTTTATAACAAGAGGTGCAACAAAAAAATAACAAAAGAAGACACGATGACTTTTGCAACAGGCATTACGTCTGATTTTAAGTGAGTCTTCTGCAAGGGAGAGGTATTGTGCGGCGAACGCTTCCCTGATATACAGAATGAGTTTATAAATGTCTGCAGCGAAAACGCATGACTCTCTGTATGTTTCTTTCTTTTGTTGTTCTTCGTCTTTCATTCTATCTTCTGGTCCCTATTTCTCATTGTCATACTTCATCTTCCATGCAGTTCCGCAATCTCCTTCGATGTGTCCTGGGAACCTTCTTTCCATTTTCAGCATCACGAGAAATTCATCGAGCTTATTCTGATTGTTGTAAGCAGTTAGTTTGACACCTCAAGATCTGTCAAATAAATAAAATAAAATATTTTTATGCACACTGAAATGAAATTATTGTGTAATTATAGATTGCCCTTCTTTCACAACCACGTATGGTTCGTGCAATAACTGACCAGATGTGTAGACGAGAAGTTAATCTTGTGTCTGAATTCCAGCGAGTCAGTTTCTTATGTATTGAAGACAAATCTTTTCAATGAAGTTAACCTCTTGCATTTTCAAAAATAGTTCTTGTGTCCTTCTTTCGATCTTCTCATCTTCCTTGTTTTTCATTTCCTATTACATTCCTTCTTTTTCTTTACTTTTTCCTCTTCTTTCTTTCTTTCTTTTATTTTTTCTTTCTTTCTTTTTTTTTCTTTCTTTTTTTCTGGCTCTTTCCTTTATCGGTGAGTTTTATATCTTTGGAGGTTTAACCAAACGTGGATTCTTCTTGTTACGAAGATGCAAGACATTCTGTTCCTATTTTCCTATTTGCTAATATCTTCGTGTTATCGGTCGTCCCACGAGTGCACATTCAAAATGCAACTGAGACGACCGCCATTTTACATACTAGGGGACGCCATTGACATCCTCTTTAGGGTACGAATTGTCATAAATTGACTTTTATGGTACCTTATTTGCTAATTTTCAACTGGTTTCTTTGAATCCCTGGTTTGGCCCCCAGAGCAAAATTTATTTTGCATCTCTAAGATAGGGCCGGTACCAATTGGATTCATCACAGATCAACATTACTTCGATTCCTTGTTGGTATTAAATTCGACTCAAACCATTTTGTATTTTCCCAGTAAAACACTTAATATACAGTGATTAATATGAATACTTACATTTAAAAAAAAGAAAAAGGGAAAGACAGAGTGAAAGAGACAGAGGTGATAAAGAAGGAACTATGTGATGTAATTGACTTCCTACGCCTATACAACTGAAAATATAATTGAGATACTGTGATATTTTAATTAGACATCAGTAAATGCCACAAGTATTTCCACCTCATATTCACACCACACTCGCATTTGTAAATTGAGCAAAACGTGGCCTTTCCCTTTCATTTCCTTTTCATTTTTCAAATATACAAAAACCTACGTATACATTGTATGTGGGTGCTTATGATTATGTATGCGCGCAAATTTGTTGGGGGTGCATATATATATATATATATATATATATATATATATATATATATGTGTGTGTGTGTGTGCATGTGTAGTGGCAATAAAATCACTATAGATTTACTTACAACAATAATTAAGACAAAGCGTTTAATCAAACATCTATGAGTTTATTATTAAAATTGTTTTCGTTAATTCTGTTTAATAACAATAATATGCTGTAGTAAACAATGGTAAATTAATTACGATATATATATATATATATATATATATATATATATATATATATATATATATAATTTATAATAATTAATATATATATATATATATATATATATATATATATATATATATATATATATATATATATGTGTGTATAAACATATATATATATACACACACACATACACACACATATATATATGTACATATACACACACATACATATACATACACACACATACATATATATATGTTCTTGTTTTTACTCTCAGTAATAAGAGGACAACGAAAATAGATGTATTGAAATCCGAAAAACGCTATTAGAAATGTGTTATTGTTTTGGAGCGTGCAGTCGCAACGCTGGGTTTGAATTTAAATTTTTAAGTTGTGCGTTCTTGTACAAATATAGTGATAAGAGAATTCTTTTTTACTGGTAAATTTTCGTCAAAGTTACAATACATCTATTTTCGTTGTCCTCTTATTACTCAGAGTAAAAACAAGAACAAAATCTATTCCATACCTGAGGATGTCTGTAGGAACAGACCAAAGCTTGTAAAAATAATAAGAACTTATGCAACTGAAATTTATAAAACAAGGATCTTTTCATGCATAAACAGGTTCGGGGATTTTGTATATTATTTGAATTGTTCGCGATGATGGATTTCTCGCCAATTAAATCATTAACCTTTGTATTTTTTTTTTTTTATGAATAATTCATGAATTTGTAAATTAGTTGCACCTTTATTGAAATATATATATATATATATATATATATATATATATATATATATATATATATATATAAATATTCAGGTGATGAAATATTCTCAGTCCGACCTGACTGGCTACCGAATATCTAATTAGAGATTATCAAATGTTCTTTTCTTTTTTGTAAATCCCTGGGTTGCTTCTATGATTTTTGCGCGCCCATCTCATATATTTTCTGTCTGTGTGGGTATAAGTTTATTGCCTTCGAGTGAGAGAATGAAGAAAGAGGGAAAGTGAGATAGAAAAATGGACGTACTTGATTTTCAGTTTGGATATAATAAGGAGTAATAATCATTGAAATGTCCTCTTCACATACCTTTATCAACTTCATAGAGGACGCTATATTTGATACACTTTAAATACGATTGAACGTTGTAAATGGTTTCCCTTAGTTTCAACATCCCGTTAAAGAGAGAGAGACGTTGCCAACAAACTTCGTTTTCAAATATTTACTGCAGCGATTTCTAAACTTGCACACCGCCTGAAGCGAGTAGAAGTGACTCCCTGTTAGAAATCAGAAAAACTAAAATGGATACGCTGATGTCTTCTCGACTTTCAACGTCTTCCTCCTTTCTTGCCCCTACCCAGCCTACCATCTCGAACAGACGAAACCCAGCTTGCGGTCAACAAATCTCCATTTTTCTTTTGGATCAGCTTTAGACACCAGGACTTGGACCGACTGACTGACTGACTGACCATTGACTGCTTCATGCATGTATTAATATCCATAACTGATGTCCAGCCATGTATGACGAGGTTCAGGCGAATGAATCACACCTCCGGACAATATCTCTACGCACCAAAACTTGATTAACGGCTTTTCGGACGCTGCAATTTTGAAAATATTTCCGTCTTTTCGCCAACTGGACCTCGAGCGGTCATTATCAGAAGTTACGGTTAGGGGGTTGGTGTAATGCAATTTTTTCCGGCCATTTCACTTACTGACCGATGACTGGCCAAAGTCCATCCCTTCGGGTCACTTTTCACCTTGGACTGTCTTCGTTAATTTGCTCCGATTTCCTCCGACCAGTTTTTCGCAAGACGGCGAATTTTCAATGAATTGAAAAGCGAACTGCAGGACGGATTCAAATTGCAGACTGTTATATGACTTTTGGATATTCAAGCCTTGGCCTCAAGATATGAACGCTTGGCAAAAGACCACCCGCGCATCAGCCCTATAGCCAACACCCACTTGTTCACGATTTATCCACATTATATATGAGCATCTTCCCCATCCAAAAGCTACAATTGAGAAATTTATATCAATAGTACCGTTAATTGTATCTTTATTACGTATCCAATTCTGATAGTTTTTATCTTCGTCTCATTTCTTATGCTGGTTCCTGTCGTCATTCTCTGTCATTTACTATAAATATTAGCACGACCAGCTTCTTTATCACTATTGATTTTATTGTTATTATTATTATTATTATTATTATTATTATTATTATTATTATTATTATTCTACTAATAATAATAGCGTATGGAAAATATTTATTTTACAACGATCAGCTTAACATTTAATTTTCATTCTACACTTAAAGGATGTTTCGCAACTATTTTCTATCGATAAACATGACATCTTCTCAGCATTCTTTCCTTATTGTCTTTTATTCGCCCCCTCTTTGTTCTTTACTCCCTTCTTTCTTGCGTTTTCCTTCCTATGTTCACCCCTCTTTTATTCTTCGAGTTCTTCCTTTTATCTTCCTTTTATCTTACTTCTTTTTTCCTATATCCATTCCAACACACTTCCTTCATCATTCTTTCGTTCCCCAACCCCTTCATATTCCCTTTCTTTCTGCATTCATCTGCCTCTCTTTTCCCCTTCTTTCTCACTCTTTTCGTTACTCTCTTCCATCTCGTTACTCCTTCCTTCTTTCCTTCATTTTTTATTTCTTCTCTCTCAATTCTTTTTCTTTCCTTTCTAACCTTTCTTTTTTCATCCTTCCTTCCATGAATTTTTCTTTTATATTCCTTCTCTTCCATTGTTTCCTCTTCTGTCCCTCTTCTGTGTTACGTCCATTGCTTTTTCTTTTCTTTCCTTCTTTTCTTCTTTCTGTCCTTCTTTTCCACTCCCCTTCTTCCTGTATTCTTACCTCCTATTTTCAATTGCTCAGTATTTTATCTCACTCTCCCTTCACCTCATTTCCTTCACTACCGCTCTTTCCTTACTGGTCATCCTTCCTTCATTTTTCCTTTCTTCCTTCTTTATTTTCTTCCACTTTACTTCCTTCTTTCTCATCACTCCGTTTCTTCCTGAATTCTTTCGTCCTGATTTTTTTATTCCTTTACTTGCCCTCGCGACCACCTTCATTTTTTCCTCTTGTATCCCTCAGTCCTTGATTCGTTTCTTTCTCTTTTTCTTCCTTCCTTCCTTCCTTCCTTCCTTCCTTCCTTCCTTCCTTCCTTCCTTCCTTCATTCATTCTTTTCTATCCTCATTCTTCTTCCATTCTTTCTTTCACTATTCGTCCGCTCTATCTCTCTCTCTTCGACGCATCCTTCTTTTTCATTCTCTCCTCTTTTCTTACTCCCTCCCCCTTTCCTCACTTCATTGCAAAATGATCATAGCACAAAACGAAATTTCTAAACACCAAATCTTATATGCCTCTTCAGTATTAATAAATGTAAATTCATACGCAGATTTATTTATCAGTGTCTCCCTCTACTCATAGATCGAACATTGCCATTAATTTTTACCTTAGCACGCCTTGGCAAATGGATGGCGACTGTTGGTAAGTGAAGGCAGTGTGGGACACTGGGGCGTGGTTATTGCAAAACGTCGCGTTAATTTAAACCGGCGAAGTAATTCCAAGCCAAATATGTGGATTGAACACTACTTCCACAAAAACGAAAATCCTCGCTATCATACTGCCCGGATGTTCAACCTATTTAATGTAGGATAGGCGATTGAATAAAACGCGTGCAGAGCCGTTAAATCCCGGACTCAATTGCTGGAAGCGCTAGCGAAGATATTCGGTTGATATCTTTATGAGTTATAGAACAAAGGCTACTTGTCTTTACAGCGCCCAATCCCAGCCGAATATTCGGATATAATAAGAAACATTGTTATACTGAGGATCAGTCGGCGTTCAAAGGAGAGCTTATTGTCAGATGAGTCAATTTTAGTCGAACATGTCCGATATCTGTTTTCAGATATAGAAATTATATACCTTATATATACTAGTTTCAAAATGACAGAAAGCGATACAAATAATCTTTTCTAGTACACAACTGTAATTTACGAGTTTGGTTATTCTGTATACTAGTTGCAAAATATTTAGTCAAGTTTCGTAAATAAAGAAAGGGGTAATGGTAAGCATGATCAACGTTCGCGTTTCTCACATCACGTAGAATCATCTAACCAACTAAGTACACGTCATGCAGATCCGTATTTCTGCATGTTACGTATATATATATGTATGTATATATATATATATATATATATATATATATATATATATATATATATATATATGTGTGTGTGTGTGTATATATATATATATATATATATATATATATATAAACTACTTGGCTATTTTTTAAAAGAGAAAATGTACGTCCATGCTTTTTTTAAGCATATCACCCCATGCAAGGCGTGAGTAGAACTGCCACGCAAGGAATCACAGAAAATAAGAGCAAGAGTAAAGAGGGGTGTTCCAGAAAAGGATGAAGAGAAGGACGTGTATCAGGATTAAGGCATCAAAAGATGTCCATTGACATTACATTTGAATATTTGAAGATTATAGCTATCAGGAGAGCAAGTAGGTACAGTTTATCAACTTTTAACAGGTAATTTAAAGCAAGAGAATATTTTTACGTTTCAAGAATTTTGGGATGATAATAATGATTTACTGATACAATTTTTACTAATTATCCCATCGCAGGGGAAGCAGAGTTTCCCACGCCTAGTTGTGCTTAAATGAATATAACGAACCATTTCCAAAACTGAAAATAGGAAAAAAAAATTAGAAATGCGTTGTTCTATTCTACCTCAAATGCAATATTCAAATGACATTGTCCCAAACCCTTATTACCATTTTCGATCGCTGCAAATCGCTCTGATAGGGACATCTTTCCTAATGAAAATAAAAAGCTGCTGAATTTTACTCAGAATCTATTGTAGAACTGCCTGATCAGCAGCAAGAAATTGTTGCAATGAATGGTGAATATATATTTGAATAAAATGTAATTGCACATGATCACCCATCTAGTTAGTGACCAGGTTCGATAATGCTTAACTTCGGTGTTTTTACGAGAACTGGTGTTTCAGCGTTATATTGACTAAGTTTGCCTGTGAGCATGTTTAATTTTTGAATTTTTTACTTAATTTTAGAGTACATTAATATCGAATATAATATGACTAATGTTGCAACTCTAATGTGTAATATTAGGTTATATTGTCTGCTTATTAATGGATGGTGCAGCCTTTAAGAACGCGAATGCAGACGTATAAATAAATAAAATAAATTTCGGATACTTTTTGCAAACATAATTTGTAGTTCGCAGCGGGAAGTTCATGATAAGTGCAAATTTTATGGTTACAGTAATAAAAAAAAACATAATTTTTTGCATTTGCTATTGCCTTTTGTACGCGTGTTTGCGAGCATGAATAATGTCCATTGTGGGTTAGTTGGTATTTTTAATAAAATAAAATACAATAAACCAGTCATTATTTCCTGAACTAGTTTTCATTCATCATATTCTTTCTTTTTAGCACGGCACACTTGGAAATAGTTTTCTCGCATTTTTCATGGCGGCTCTTTACTATTTTTTATTTTATTACAGCACGTCATTTTGTTTTTCGAGCCAAGCAAGATGTATTATACAAAACGTAAATAACACTTTATAATTCAGTTATTTCATAATTAAAGAAAAAATGATAATTATTAACCTGATTCACAAATAGTTTCAGTTTTTGTTTAGGAAATTTAATTTTTTCAAAATATAATGTGCAATTACATTTGATTCAATTATATATTCACCATTATTTGCAACGATTTATTGTTACTTATTAGCCAATTCTGAGATAGATTCTGCAGGTTTTGATGCGAAGCACTGTTCGGAGAGATCATGAATCTTATTCTCATTAGGAAAGATTTCCCGATCAGAGCGATTTTCAGCAGTCGGAAATGGTAGTAATGGTTTTCGACAATGTCATTTGATTATTGCATTTGAGGTAGATAGAACACTATTTTATTCATGAAGGAGAGTACTTTTCGAACATACGTTTATGGACATGTTGCAGATGCTGGACGTATAAATGTGAATTTCGAGTATCATGACGCTTTTAGATCTTTAAATTAATAATACTAAGATGACCCGACAACACACACGACAGACTATATGATGAATTATTGTTCAGCGGCATATCAACCTACATGAGTTATTTAATGTTCAAATCTTAATATTTTATGGCTTCAGCTACAGATAAAATGTATTTTTGGTCATTTCGTTATAAAATGCATTGTTGGTAATTCTACTATAAAACGTATTGCTGGTGATTTTGCTATAAAAATGTATATTTATACTTTAATAGTTTTATGTTTGGAGGTCCACTATTTCCCCATATCTTCGACCCTAACAGGAGATATTACCCAGGGTCAGAGTGAACCAGGGTAAAACAACAATTAAGAGATGGTCCTGTGGTCCACAAACCTTAGATCTCCCGATCAGAGGTCTTGCTGCCGGATGTAGTTTATCGTTATGCCCAGGACTACATTTCAAAGATAGCCTAGAGAGAAAGGTACGTACAATACGATATTGTCTTGTGATGTATGTTTTTGTCTTTTATTTTGCGTGTTTCAAGCATTCTTTCAATTTGTTTTGCAGAGTATTCGATCGAAAACACTGTGTAGGCTCTCTTGAGAAAAATATTCTTTATCAATCTTTCATCATTAAATTATTTTCCAAAAACGGGCCAACACAGCAAGGCAACAATGCTGTATAAATAAAGCAATAAAAGTAGTAAAATACTGGAGATTCTTTTGCGAAAAAAGGGGCGAGAGCAAAAGACCAAACTCAGTTATAAAGGATAAGAGCCTGAAATTGTGACACCGAAATCTGAAGCTGCATTGTGATAGAAAAGCGATACCTTCAAAAAGCAAAGCAACGTATTAAGAAAAAAAAATCATAAGAAAATATGCTGAAGTGCTATGTAATATCAGACTTTATATATGGCAGTGTATGCTAGACAATTTCTGCACAGATGGTGGGGAGACTTGACGCAACAGAGATCTAGTTCTACAAAAGATTGATGAGAATATTATAGACGGAACCTTTAAGTAACGAGGGAAAGAAAAATTGAAAATAAAGTCCAATTATACTTAAAATCAAATAGAGATATATGTATTTTCTTGTAAATATAATGAGAAAAGAAGGCTTGGTATATTTTATCCTTCAGACTTGGTAAAGTTTATCCTTCAGGCAAGCGAGGCAGAAAAAAAAACATCGTGTAATTTGTTTAATAAGCAAAACAGGGGAGGTGAGCCATAGCAAAATGACAAACATTGCTAAAAGCTACAATGGAATGAAGTCGTGGAGACACATGATCACCCACATCCTGAAGTGACATGGCACTTATAATAAGATACAATTTTTATATAGGCGAATTATCTCATCCACTGTTTCAAGATAATCACTGGTTTCAGTGCTTGGTTCACATTCGCTAGATTAAGCAGCATATTCTTACGAAAAAAAATCACTTAATATGAGGCTCAAGAGCCGTTCAAGAAAGAGGTTGTTGTATCGATGTAAGAGTAGAAATTAATTGCAGATTACATGGTTACGTACGATACATTACAGTTGGTTCTTGGCGGCCAAAATTGTAGTTATCATGGAATTATCCTCTCAGGAATCTGTTATATAATAAAACTGTTCTACTGAAGAAGCTGTCGGAATGCAACTTTCTTCTTATCAATGGAATACGAAGGAAATGCGGCTGATTTGGTCATGTGTATACGGTAGGATGTGTCCACGCTGTAGAGGATTGGAGTGGTGGAATGAACGAATGTAGTTTAACCGAACATATGCCATGAAAATGGTGATATATTATCAAGTGGCTAGTACGTGAGAATTAAAAGTCAGTATAAACATCTCCCGAAAAAACATAACCGAATACGGTAGGAGTACTACATATTTGGTATGATCTGACTTTTGTAAAGGTTTAGCATGGCAGGAAACTTCATGTTCATTTTGGAGCCTCACAATCCCTGTATTTTCAGCGATTGAAGCTAATTTTAATTACTAATAAGTGTAACCTAGAAAGGATTACTGAATGAGGAAATATCCAAAGCAGAGGTTGGAAATGAAATGGTAATATTTATAACATCAAAAAATAAAACACTCGCTAGCGGCGTGAAGTAGGTAAACCACTGCTAGTGGTGAACTTCTTAGGCAGCATATTAAGATATTTACCTGCCTCTCCACGAGGTAGGATGCGGTGCAAGGCTAAATTTAATATGGGGAAATCCGAGCCTGTGGGCTCGGGCAAAAATTGTCCGTAGACCTCGCATAATCGGGATCGGATATCTGTCTACCTCCCCGAACGAGACTCTGCCCATCGGCATAGCCTCGGCCGGGTTCTTCTCT